ATATATATTTTATATATTTATTTACATATATATATATACATATATATATTTCTATATATATGTATTCTTTCCCCGTGATTGCACGACAATGTTACCTAGTTTGTATTTATTAAATGGTTGAGAAGTTATTGCAGGATCTCTATCTCTGTTTTCTGGCTTCAAATGTATTTTATTTGATGGTATGTCCAGATGTGACAGTTAATTTTGATTTCAGTTTTATTGTGCAGATGTACATCTTTGATCCTATACGAGTGCATTCACTTGCCATTGAAAATTTCGTATTCATTTCCATTGATTAATAATGTTATCTTCAGCGCACCACATCATGAAGAGAAATTTCGAAAAATGTCGCAAGCCTACAATGTGTTGAAAGATCCTGTACAGCGACGAGACTATGATAATTCACTGAAAAATCCGGGAAGCAAGTACGTTGAGTTTCATATATATGTACGTACAACACATTCGCGTTATACACACACACACACAGACACAGACACACACGCATATTTTATACTACAGTCGTGGTTTTGTGTATGTATTTATATCTGGTATAAGGCTAAATCTAGGCTTGCATGATAATAGGATGGTCTGGTTGTGGACAAAATATATTTTGTTCGTGACTGGTTATTGTTCTTTTACGAATATAGCCAGGCCTGCTTGACTACTCATGGCCCAAGTATATCTTCGGGCGTGTAAGCATACAAACGCGCATGCGTGGACGCACATTATGTGTATCCTGTACCAACCATATGCGTCATATACTATGTGTATCACACACCAACTTAAATGGTGCTCACAAGTCCAATCAAAATAACCGGTAGCGGTCTCTCTCAACCCAATTTTTAGGACCTACTCCACCGCCGGGGCATCGAATCAAACATATCAACAACGGTATGTTTTCTAGATAAATCTGAATTGTCTATCAATCATATGTATCTACTCAGGTATTTTTGTGCTCTCTATATGCTGTAAAAACACATCCGCTGTGATGTCTCGGGTGTCGATATCGGTACGTCTATGGTTGCGCAAGTATGCTCGGCTCGACTACGATGTGTATTGGCCGTGTTTTCTGCGTGTGTCTAGTACGTGGCTTCGGGCAGTATTGCTAAGATTATAAATATGGTATATGTATTTATGCATACGTTCATGGTATAATTAAAACACATATCATACACACACATAGTGTATATAATACACCCATGTGGTTTTGTAAGTCGTATGTTTAAGTGTTATTGGCACAGTTGGTATGTTGGTTCGACTTGTTGCTACGCTGGTCTGTAAAACTGCAATCATAGCCAGATCGTTGTGGTTTATCGGCGAGCACGATGTATGGGTGTACTTGCAAGGGCGATTTCTTTTGTTCTTCCATATGTGTCGAGTGCATTTATTTCTCCTCGCAGCTCACGTGTACAAGTGTTCGTGACACACCATGAGTAGTATCACATTCGTTTGGTCATGTTCGCTTTCAACGCGTTCAACGAAGTTGAAGACATGTTTTGGGAAGGAATGCGCAGCTATACAATGCTGAGCATTGACATACAATTTGACTCTTATTAGACGGTTCCTCACATCACAATTGAACTGGTGAATTTGGCAGTCGTATCGCTTTGTATGTGATGTCGATTTGTTCATTTTTCAAATTTCAAGTGTCCACTCCCCCAGATGTATTTTTGACCAATATTAAAGCCCTGTGAGCTGAACCAACAAAGGCGTTTAAAGATCCTAAAAATCAGACAGGGGTTAAAAATAAAAAGTCCCTTTCATGATTCAATAAAATAAACGTACTGTACATATACCGACACGCCCACACTACTTTCTAATATTGACACACATGGTATTTCTATATGGCAGGCAAAAAACCCAAGAAGAGCAAGAGAAAGCATGGGGCTTCACTCCCCAGGCTAAGGATAAGAATGGACAACCTATATACCGCAACCCAAAGTTCAGTAACGGGACTGTGGCTATGTTTCTGTTTGGGTTTATCATCGCGGGCATCCTGGTGAACAGTTGGCGCTGGAATAGCTACTCGTCTAAGGTAAGTTTAACTTTTTCACGCGTTTGGATACATACTAAAAATGATATTTGATTCGTAAGAGGACAGTGCCTATATTTGTGGGAGTATTTTAGTGGAATGGTATAGATATAGTTCCACGAATATAGACAGAATTTTTACAAGATTCCTGTGACTGAATGCGTTCTTCTATTAGGTGACGCACTGGAGCCTGGTGGCCGGCTAGCATTTTGTGTCCAAAGTATGTATGCATGTGTAAGTACCAACATAATTGTATCTAATACACACACACACACAACACACACACACACACATATATATATATATTACATATATATAACACACACACACACACAC